GGGCCTAGACCCTTCTTCAGAAAAAGTTTTCTGAAGAAGGGTCTAGGCCCGAAACGTCAGCCTCCCTGCTCCTCTGATGCTGCTTGGCCTGCTGTGTTCATCCAGCTCTACACCTTGTTATCTCAGCTTCTCCAGCATCTGCAGTCCCTACTATCTCTGAGATGTTGGTGCTGCTGTCTTAGCCATTGTTTGTTGCCCATAATTACAGAGAGGGCCTGGGAGTTGGTCTGGAGTCACGTGTCGGCAAAACCAGGTAAAGATGGCAGATTCCTATTTACATGTTCACCATAGGCTGGTTCTGAATTCCAAAATTTTCAAATGAATAAGTCAAACCAAATAAATCAAACCAAATATTTCAATGCGTCCTTGCTTTACCAAGTTCCCAACTTGGCACAATTGTACATTTTCTCTATATTGGACTTGAAATAAAAAGATCCATCAGCCACGTTTCTTTAACAAACAAAATTAGAAATAAACAACAAGAAACAAACAACAAATAAAACAAAGCTTATTCCAAGAAGAGGCAAAATTGGTTTATTTGCACAGTTTACGATGTAAAAATGTAAATATCTACTCTTCTAAATGCCCCAAAACACACACTCATACTTGGCAAGGAGAATAAAAAGAGATTTCTCTCTACAGAAATTCACTTTAAGAAAAAAAAATACTTCTGATAAATAATTATTGATTCTTGGAGGCAAAATGATCAAGTGTGGAATATTCAGATGGCTGATGTTCTGGCATCTGTCGACCAGTGTTACCAAACATGGTAGTTGTCTCTGGGATGTCAGCAACCAACGGCTTCTTGAGGGCAATTGGGTTTCATGGCGAATTCACAACAGGAGATTTTTTTTCAGAAATAGGAGAAATGTACTGGGATCTCCTTCTCTTTGGCACTAATCACCAACTGTCCCAAATAACGTTCAAAGCAGAAACTGGAAATGACACTCGTAAATCTAGACAGCTGGACTTAGTTTAAAAAAATGTTATCACAAGATATGTGACTGCCTTGTTAAATAAAAATTTCTAAGTCCTTTCATTGATTTCTTTTTTTTAAAAATGTCTAGTATCCACAATCCTTCAAACTTAAGTTCACAAAATTATTAAAATCCTTCATAGTAATTTTCCTTTTGCCCTTTCTTTCTCTCCATTCAATCCTTTTCTGGATTAGATTTAACGTTGAATTCACCCACGGTAACTCATCCTCACCCTCAGAATTCTCTCAATCCTGAAATTTCATTAAGGATACACACTGTTGGCTGCCATGTCTAATCAGGTCTCAGGTGACCATTTGCCACTACATGATCAGCTCGCAACTCCAACAAGTTTGTCGACAAAATACTTCAAAACCTGCATCTGCGAAAATCAGTTTAACTGACAGGGCGCGCTGAGATGAATACTCCAATAAAACCTGGATAAACATATTCCAAATCTTCAATTTGTGCCATGAAATCCTACAAAAACAGAGGGACTGCAATGCTTGAGTGACAGAACCTGCATTTTCCAAAACACACTGCTG